TGGTACCAGCAGCGTGGCGCCTGCTTCAAGCCATAGATGGACTTTTTCAGCTTGCACACCCTGCCCGTACCATCCTCATACCCAGGTGGCTGCGTCATGAACACCTCCTCCTCTAAAATCCCGTTGAGAAATGCCGTTGATATGTCCATCTGGATAATGAACTTCCCACTAACGGCTGCATCTGCCAACAAGACACGAAGGGTAGGGGGTTTGGCAGTGGGAGCAAAGATCTCATTGAAGTCCCGCTTCTCCTTCTGCATAAACCCCTTAGCCACCAACCTACTCTTGTAGATGGTGACCTGCCCCTTGTCGTCAGTCTTGATCCTTAGCACCCACTTGCATTGTACCGCTTTCTTTCCCTCAGGCAGCACCACTAGTTCCCAAGTCCCATTCTCCAGCAGGCTCTGGTATTCAGCATCCCTGGAAGCTAGCCATTTGTCCCTATCTGGTCCAGCTAATGCCTCCTCCATGCTAGCTGGTTCCTCTGGTGCAGGGGCAAGAAAACAGTACGCAGGTTGATCCTCCTCATCCGGGTCATAGCCATGCGGTAGAATCAGCAATGCCTCCTCGGTCCCAAGCTGCTGCTCCGCTACATCAGCTCCTGCAGTCAGCTTCTTAGTAGCCATACGGGTACGTCCTGGCCTGGAGACGGGTGTCTCCTATCCCTTCATAATAACACCCTTCGGCTTCTTAGTTTTCCCCTGCTGCTGCTCTCCTCCCTCGGATCCAGCAGCTCCACTAGTGCTACCGCTAATCTCCACACCATCACCTCCACCAGCAGGTGCCTCCTGCACCTTCTCTTTATCACCACCCTCTGCAGCTGCCTCCTCTCCCTCCTCCCACACACTAGGAGTCAGGTCCAGCTGCATGGTAATCTGCTCCATCTGCTGGGACACCCTGGCCTCCGGCTGTTTCTCCCAGCTCCCATACATCATGCCCTCAACAAACTTCACATCCCTGCTGTCAAATAACACACCCTTGGAGGGTTCCCACAGCAGCCATCCCTTGCTCTCAGCAGCCAGCCCCAAATGCACACACCAGATTGCACTCGCCCCCAACTTACTGCGGTAGGTCTTGGGGACGTGGGCGACTGCCATGCAACCGAACACCCTCAGCATGTCCACCGGCGGCTTCCTCCCAAGCCACCTCTCCAACGGCACCCACGAGTCATCCCCAACCTTTGTGAGTACCCTGTTCCTAGCGACGGTAGCGTGCCGAACAGCATGGGGCCACATGGAGTTGCCCAGCCCAGATTCTATGAGCAGCGCCCTAGCTGTCTCCAGAATTGTCCGGTTCGCCCGTTCTGCTACACCGTTAGACTGTGGGGTGTAAGCCGTGGTCAGCTCCCTCTGGATGCCCTGCTTCTTGAGCCAGGCCGTCATCTCAGCTCCAAGGAACTCACCACCCCGATCTGTCCTAATCCGCTTCACCACACACTCCGCTTGCTTCTCCACGAACGGCAGCCAATCGTCCCGAATCGTGGAGGCGGCGTGATCTTTCTGCTTCAGCGGATACGCCCACATTAGCCTGCTCCAGTCATCCACTATGGTTAGGAAGTACCGCTCCCCCTTGTGCCCTTGCACCGGCAGCGGCCCCACCAAGTCCATGTGGACCAGCTCCAACGGCTTTTTGCTCCTGCCAGCCACACTATGGAAGGGGAAACGGGTGAACTTTGAAAGGAGGCAAATTTCACAGTTATCTTCGGGTGGTTGTCCGTTCAGCTTTAAGCCCTTAACGGCTCCATCCTTCTCCAGCTGCTTCAGCAAAGGCATTGCCACATGCCCCAAACGTCGGTGTGCAGTTGCCCAATCTGTCTCCCCAGATCTGGCCGACACTTTCACACCAACCCCTCCAACGGCGTTGCACTCCCCCTGGGATGCAGACCCCTCTCCAGCCTGCCCCCCACCGTGCCACGCCAGCGCCGGCAGCTGCCACATAGATCTGTACACGTCCTTGCTCTCGTGCAGATCCCAAAGCACCCGATTGCCCAGCTTCCCCTTATAAGTGCGAGCCCCATCCGTGTTGGTGTTCACCCCAGCCTTGCCAAGCTTACGGAGGGAGATGAGGTTGGCCTTCAGGTCGGGGACGAGGAGAACGTCGTGCAGCACCACCGGCTTGCCATCCGCTCCCTTAAATGCAGCTCGTCCCGCACCAGCCACCTTCAACATGTGTCCAGAGGCAGAGCACACCTCATTAATCGGTGCAGCGCGTACGTCGTCCAGCAGGTCCTTGCGCGGCGTCATTGTCCAAGCAGCGCCTGTGTCCAACACCCAATAGTCCAGGGGGTGCAGCTCTGCTCCAGCCTTAGCAGATGCGTCTCCTTGCTCCCCCTTGTCTCCCATATGGAAGAATTGGCCCGCGGTGCGCTCCTTCTTCTTCTCCGCACCGCCGTTGCCCTTCGGGTTGTTGTCGGACGAATCAGCGACCATGTTGGCGCCGTTTTTCTGGTTCCTCCGCGCGCCGCCATCCTGGTGACGATTCTGGGGGGTCCATCCATCGGGTTTCTTATAGCACAAAAACCAGGGGTGCCCTTCCTTCTCACAATACCAGCAACTCCCTTTCATTTTGCCACCAGCACCCGACTTGCCCCCACGTCCAGATTTCGCACCGCGACCCCAACCGGTACCTCCTTGTTGGTCGTTGGAGTCGTCGTCTTTCTTTGCACCGCGTCCAGCACCACCGAAGCCACGTCCTTTGCCACGTCGGCTCCCTTGCATCCCGTAGCCGCTGCTGCCGTCGTCTCCACCCCTCAGTTGGCGGCGACGGAAGTCCTCCTCCAGAATCTTCGTCCGCACCCACTCGAGCGTCCACAAGCTCTGGTTCTGCGGCAGGCTCAATCCGCTCGTAAATTGAAGCCACGATTCCGGCAGCAGCGAGAGCATCTTCAAGCACTTTGTTTGCTCCGGGTAGGTGATTTCTGCGGTCGCCAACTTCGCGTAGAGGTCGCGCAATTTGTCCAGGACAGGTTGCACCGGCTCTCCCTCGCTCAGGCGCAACGCGGACAGCTCCCTCTCCAGCATCAATGTTGCAACAACGGAGGTCGGGGCGTGCAGCTCCTTCAACACCGTCCACGCCTTCGGACCGCACTCAACCTCCGGCAGCAGGTGCATGACGTGGTGACGCTGGTTCAGCTCCAAACTCTGCGACATCAAGTAGTAGCCAGCCGAGGCGCGCTCGTCCCAATCTTCCTGAAGGGCGGGGTCACTCGGTCTAGGCTCCTCCCCAATCATTAGTTTCAGCAATCCGATTTGACGGAAATAAAGTTGCATTTTCCAGGCCCAATCATCATAGCCCTCACCATTGAACTTCTCGACGGTGAAGTTTTTCAGCACCTCCTTGATCAGCGAGCCCTGGCTTGTTCGCGCTCCCCTTGGCGCAGAAACACCAGAATCATGGCTGCCGCTACGATCTTGGGCTGAAGATTCACCAGCTACCGCCGAGGTGTTGCCCGCCATAGCTACCTATATCGAGGATCACTATAACGCAGCTCTGATACCAGCTTGTTGGTGTAAGGGCCTAATAAACTCAAGCTATTAAGACTTTATCACACTTAAAACCTCTCCTCGGGGTCACCTCCAAGGGTCCTTGGGTGCCTGGTACAAGACCAGCCCCTATCCTCGGGTCCGAGTTTGTAGAGAGAGGGATCAAGAGGGACTTAGTCAAAACAGCAAGAGTACCTTGAGCGTCGCGCAGCGTATCGTGCAGACCGTCGATCGGATTAAGCTGAGAATTTCCTATATCGAAGCTCACTCTAAGAGCTTTAAAATAAGCCAAGTTGTCTCGCGAAAAGTTCTGCCATTACGAAGTTATGGCTCAGACAGCGTTAGCCTAGCGTTGGAGTGCTAGCGTACTAGCGTTGACTCGGGTAGCATTCCGCCGTCGCACCGCGTAGAAAAGAAATTCCAGCAAGGAAGGAATTCGCTTGAATCAATTTCACTATCTTCAGGTACAAACAGAGAAGGAATAAATAGCTCTAGCTAGCAAGGACCTTGGGAATGAACCTGGGAACAACCAGGGATGATCCCAAATAATTCCAAGCAACAGAACCAACCTGGCTGGACAAAATAGCAGGTGGTAGGTTGGTGAACAGCCTCTGGTTCTGTTTTTCCAACCTGGGAAAACAACAACCAGGTTCAGGTCCTAAAAACAGAACCTGTTTTGTCTTTGCCCAACCAGCCAAATGCTGGTTCCGCTGGTTTCCCCTGGCCCTGTAGCATGCAGATACAGACAAACAACATCCAACCTTCACCTAAATTGTACCCCTATAGTGCCTGCCCTGCTACACTATAGTCAACCAAACAAAACAGTACAATTTCGAGTTGGATAGAACTGAATCTGCGCAATCAAGTAAGCCGAACCGCAAAGCTTCCATCTTGGGTTCCTTTGCGAGCTCGTCCTTTCTGCTTGTACTGTTCATAGCGCGTACAATGTTATGCCGAAGCGCACATTGTGCGAGTACCTGCAAATGCTTCAAGCGAAAATTGCGAAAGCAAACAAACACACAAGCATACCATTCACACGCAAATGCATTCGCACACGCATACTCGTACAAACAGACGGCAGGATGTCGTGCAATGTGAATTTGCACCCAACACCGTGTACCATTCCAAACTGCCACGTCAGCCTCAACCCTCACATTCTGCCACGTCACACCCTTATTCATCCGCCAATATCCCGCCCTACTTGCCACGTCACACCCCCCACCAAGAGCCACGTCTCCCCCCACCCACCTGAAACGCCTCGCGCCGTCATGCGGCACTCCCTTGCACACTTTCACACCGCCACGTCATATCCCAACCTCCACCTTTTGCCACGTCACACCCAACCCGCATCCGCCACGTCCACCAACAACCCGCGCCACTTGCCACGTCACACCCACCTACCCCATGCCACGTCACCCCCCACCCACCTGATACGCGTCGCCTCGTCACGCGCCGCTCCCGTGTTCCCTTCGAAACCGCCACGTCAGCCCCAACCCCGCCCTTGTTGCCACGTCAACCCTATCCCGCCCCATGTGGCCCGCCACATACCGGGAATGGGTTTGTCTCCTGCAACACTAGCACTCGTGCCTTGTCCACGGCGCTCATCGGCGGCGGGGTACCAGCCATAGGCAGGGCTGCCGGCCCGCAGGCATAGCTGGCAGGTACTCCACGACGCAGGCCGGGCTGTGCAAACATAGCGTACATCTCAGACCGCAGCGCCTGGAACTCCTCCCGTGTAACAAACTGCTCGTGCTCCGCACTTTCACCTAGGGCACCCATGAGCGGTGGAAAAGGGTGTGAAGAATCCCCCCTCTGGCCAAGGGGATAAACGTCTTCTGCACCAGTCCCGTGTGCCCTCACACTATCACGCTGGCGGGAAAAGGGGAGCTCAGGGAAGGGATTGGCATAACTGCCTGCCTGATGCCCGCGCGAAGGATCGGCGAGAGGGGAGACCGCCCTGCCCCGGACAGGAGAAGCGTGGAGTTGCCGAAATTGGTACGAGGGTGAGGCGAGTGGGGACTGCGTGACGGGGGCGGGTGGAGGGGATTCGGATTCCTCTCCTCTTGGCGCGCCTGGTGCCGTCGCATCGACTTTGCTCGGGCCGGCCCATGGCGTGTAGTACTTTGGTGTTCCGGAGGAGAGCGGTGTAACACTCGCTCTTCCGGCAGCCTTCTTTAGATGCATTCGTTGCACGCTTACGGGCGGCCCAATGCCTGTAACGCGAGGGGCTGAGATGTAGAGGGAGCCGGAAAAAAAAAATTAGAGTCGATCGGTTTCAAGGCGGGGCCAGACATGCATGCATATTCAGAAAGGTTTGAATCTAGATTGGGTTCAGGGTTGTACTGGTTTGAGACAAGAGGGTTTACCTTGCTTGGCAGATTCGTCGACCTTCCCCTTCCCTGCATGGGATAAACAATGTGAAAAAAGGGTGTTTTTTGGCACGGTTTAGCAGATGGTTCAACACGTCACGCCAGTTTTATTGGACACAATGCTCACCTTTCTGCTGTCCCTTCGGTTTTGGGGCAGCCTGCGCCTTCTCGTTGCCACCTTTCCGCGGGGTGCTTTGGCGGACGCTGCGACGTTTACCGGCAGGTTCTTTCTTGCTAGTACCCACTGGAACCGCTTTGGCGCGGCCACCCTTTCCTCCTCCATCCCGTTTTGCTCCCTGGCTCCCTTGCTTTTTACCAACCCCTTCACTTTCGACCTTCACCTTACGTGCCTTCGGTTTGCCCGATGCTTCGCCGCGCGCAGCGTCAACTGCCCCGCGTTTTCGGGAAGGGCGAGTCCGGCCCCCCTCCTTCCCTGTACCACTCACCCGTCTGCCACGCCCGCCCCGTCCCTTCACTGGCGCCAGATCCTCCTCCTCCTCCTCCTCCTCCTCCTCCTCCTCCTCCTCCTCTGCTGCTTCCTCCTCCTCCTCCTCCACATCCTCCTCGTCGTCACCCTGCTCCTCCTCCTCCTCCTCCTCCTCCTCCTCCTCCTCCTCCTCTGCCTCCTCCTCCTCCTCCTCCTCCTCCTCCTCCTCCTCCCCCTCGTCGTCCTCCTCCTCCTCCTCCTCCGCCTCTTTGTCCTCCCCGCTATCATTCTCATCTTTTTCATCCTCCCCAACATCCGCGTCATCCTCCTCCACTTCCTCTTCATCCTCCTCTCCCTCCGCATCCTCCTCCTCATCCTCCTCCTCCGTATCACCGGGGTCTTCATCGCCTCGTTTCGGCTTTGTTCCTGTCGCTGCTTTCTTGCCTCTCCTTCCGCCGGATGCTTTTCTTGCTGCGGGTCGGCCCTTATGGCGCAATGCTTGACCGCCCACCTTGCCACTAGCTTCCTTGGCGCCTCGCGGTGTCCCAACTGCCGCGCCTCCGGCGTCGTCAGCACTACCTGCCGTCTGCCGCCTCTTCGCCCGCGTAATGAGGTCTCCGGGCACGGCGGCGTCATAATCGTCCTCCCCATCGCTCTTCCTCTGCCTACGCCTCCCACGTCCACCAGAAGGTGGAGACCCACCGACCAGCCCCACCGACTCGTGCTCCCCCACCTTTTCCTTATCCAGCTGCGGAAACTTCAACCACGGTCGGCTGGAGCAGCGTCAAATGGTGTTGCGTTGCCGCCGCCTCGGACTCCTTGGTTGCGGCATGCTCGGTGCGGGGATCGCCTCCGTGATTTCCCTCCGTCGCCGATCCCTCCATCTCCGCCGACGGGAGTGCAAGAGTCGCGCTCCCTCGCCCCGGATCTTCGTTGCCGCCAGTGGTGCCGTCTTTACTCGGACCGGGCTCGGTTCCAGCAGAGGCAACATCCGCATCTTTGTTCACTGTAGAAACACGCTTGCGTGGCGTTGGTTTAGGCCCCTTGTCTTCCGCTTTCTTGCCGGCCTCCTGTTGACCGCGCGCGACCTTTTTTGCCGCCGTTTTTTTCTGCCCAATGCCACGAGCGACGAACGCAGTAGTTTTTTTAGCGCCGCCACCACACTCCCTATCGATTTGTTTAGACGTCATCCTTGTCGCGCGGCGGCCGGCCTGTTTCTCTTCCATTGTTTGGTTACGTGTTGCACGTGTCATGGTAATTGTAGGAGGAGCAAAGTTGCAAATCGCGCGGAAGGGTTGAGCCGGTTTCGAAAGGGTTCTGCAACTGAATCCCACAATGAGATTATCGACGGTCTATCACTGTTATGTGTTTCCGAAAACCGCCGCTTCAACTAAATCTGTCATAGTAGCCACCATGCTTCGCGCTAAGGCCGATCTGGAGAGTCGTGTATCAAGGCAACGAGCAGCGTCAAAGTGTTGGTCCAGGGAGTGACGGAAGCAGGTGGGTCGGACACGTGGGTGGTTGGGGTGGGTTGCGAGACTAGAGAGAGTAATGTAACCCTATCAGGCTATATTGGACGGTGTACGTGTAGCCACCTTATCATAAACCCACCTAACGCTGGATCTCAGCCGCTCAATAGCTGAAGTACCTCTTGGCTGATGACTGTGTTGCGGGGGGAATCGTTTGAGATGCGTCGGCCAATCACGGTTGCCAACGCATCAATCACTACAATGGGTAAAACCGGTGTGAAACCTGCAGTGCGAAATTAGTCAAATCCCTGCAAAGTACAGTGTTTTCGAGACCGCACAGTGTTACACGGTGAAGCTAAATTTTATTCAAACATACAACAATGCATTTCATCAAACTCTAAGTTGCAAATGGTTTACTACGGGGTTGGGGTAAGTTAATCGGTGATTCTTACGTCACACACACAACGACCGTCCAGAATTATTACTTGTGACAGATGTACTGTGCACTTTTTGGCTTTGCCACAATGGTTTAGGGCCAGCGGACGACATTCTAACACGATTATCAATAGTAACAAACGAGAATCCGTAGTGGTATGGTGTTGGATTGTCATCCATTCTTGCACATACATTAAATAAGGTGCTTAGAAGGAGTGGTATGAAGCACAGGCCCAACGCACAAGCGTAGATGCATTATCGATAGCCATGTTTAGACTGTGCGACGATGCAGCGTTCAGGCCTGCGGGTTGCGCGTCATGGTGAATCCGTTGTGGTATGGTGTTGGATTGGCATCCATTGTTGCACAGACATTAAACAAGGTCCTTAGAAGGAGTTGTATGAAGCACAGGCCCAACGCATAAGCGTAGATGCGTTATCGACAGCCATATTTAGACTGTGCGACGATGCAGCGTTCAGGCCTGCGGGTTGCGCGACATGGTGAATCCATTGTGGTATGGTGTTGGATTGTCATCCATTCTTGCACAGACATTAAACAAGGTGCTTAGAAGAAGTTGTATGAAGCACAGGCCTAACGCACAAGCGTAGATGCGTTATCGATAGCCATGGTTAGACTGTGCGACAATGCAGCGTTTAGTCCTGCGGGTTGCGCGTCATGGTGAATCCGTTGTGGTATGGTGTTGCATTGGCATCCATTCTTGCACAGTTATTAAACAAGGTGCTTAGAAGGAGTTGTATGAAGCACAGGCCCAACGCACAAGCGTAGATGCGTTATCGACAGCCATAGTTAGACTGTGCGACGATGCTGTTGGTGTAAGGGCCTAATAAACTCAAGCTATTAAGACTTTATCACACTTAAAAACCTCTCCTCGGGGTCATCTCCAAGGGTCCTTGGGTGCCTGGTACAAGACCAGCCCCTATCCTCGGGTCCGAGTTTGTAGAGAGAGGGATCAAGAGGGACTTAGTCAAAACAGCAAGAGTACCTTGAACGTCGCGCAGCGTATCGTGCAGACCGTTGATCGGATTAAGCTGAGAATTTACTATATCGAAGCTCGCTCCAAGAGCTTTAAAATGAACCAAATTGTCTCGCGAAAAGTTCTGCCATTACGAAATTATGGCTCGGACAGCGTTAGCCTAGCGTTGGAGTGCTAGCGTACTAGCATTGACTCGGGTAGCATTCCGCCGTCGCACCGCGTAGAAAGGAAATTCCAGCAAGGAAGGAATTCGCTTGAATCAATTTCACTATATTCAGGTACAAACAGAGAAGGAATATATAGTCCTAGCAAGCAAGGACCTTGGGAATCAACCTGGGAAGAACCAGGGATGATCCCAAATAATTCCAAGCAACAGAACCAACCTGGCTGGACAAAACAGCAGGTGGTAGGTTGGTAAACAACCTGTGGTTCTGTTTTTCCAACCTGGGAAAACAACAACCAGGTTCAGGTCCTAAAAGCAGAACCTGTTTTGTCTTTGCCCAACCAGCCAAATGCTGGTTCCGCTGGTTTCCCCTGGCCCTGTAGCATGCAGATACAGACAAACAACATCCAACCTTCACCTAAATTGTACCTCTATAGTGCCTGCCCTGATACAGTATAGTCAACCAAACAAAACAGTACAATTTCGAGTTGGATAGAACTGAATCTGCAAAATGAATTCAACCGAACCGCAAAGCTTCCATCTTGGGTTCCTTTGCGAGCTCGTCCTTTCTGCTTGTACTGTTCATAGCGCGTACAATGTTGTGCCGAAGCGCATAATGCGCGAGTACCTGCAAATGCTTCAAGCGAAAATTGCGAAAGCAAACAAACACACCAACATTCCATTCAAACCCAAGTGCATTCGAACACGCATACTCATACAAACAAACGGCAGGATGTCTTGCAATGTGAATTTGCACCCAACACACTCCCCTTCAGCTTGTCGGCTGCATCCCCATCATTCCATACTAGTTCATGCTCATTCCACTCATCCGCACACAACGCCAATGAGGCTCATCCGCAAGCCTCTTGGTGAGGAAGTCTGCTGGCTGCTGGTGAGTCTTGATGTAGATCGGATTCACCGTCCCCCTCTTCACCTCCTTACGCAGCCAGTGCCACTTGATACGCATGTGCTTATTGAGCCTATGAAGCACAGCGTTCCTGGCCATCCCAAGAGCTCCCTTGCTATCACAAAACAGCGGCGTAGCAACCTTTTGCTCCTGGCCAATCTCCTCCAACAGCCTCCTTAGCCAAATCACCTCCTTCACCCCATGAAACATTGCCATGTACTCTGAGTCCACGGACGAGAGTGCTGTCTCCGTCTGCTTCTTTGACCTCCAACTAACCGGTCCTCCCCCAACTATGCAGAGGTATCCTCCCACTGATGAGGAATCCTCCTTCTCAGAGGCCCACGTAGCATCGGTAAAGCAAGTGAGAAAAAGCTTGCCTTCTCCAAGCCTCTCCCCCTTCTCTTTCAGCACCTCAACCCCTTTCCGCTTCACCTGTGCAGATGCGGAGTATTGAACTCCAATGCTTGGGTGAGAGTTCAGATACTTCACCACACGCTCAGCTGCATCTACCTGCTCATCTGATGGATTCTGCACCACCCTAGCCAGCTGCCCAACCGAGAAAGAGATCTCGGGCCTCGTGTGAACTGCTGCATACAAGAGGCTGCCCACCAAGGACTGAAATTGCTGCTGCTCCTCGGCTTCAACCCCTTCATCCTCTGCAGCTTTCACAAGCTTGAATTCTGCTGGCAGGGGAGTTGCAACCTTGCGCTCATTCTCAATTCCGTACTTCTCCCCAAGCTCCTTGATGAACTTCTCCTGGTGCAGCTTCAACCACCTGTGATCCAGATCCCTCTCCACGTGCATCCCGAGGTAGTACTTTACCTCCCCAAGGTTCTTGCACTTGAAGTTCTCCATCAGCTGCTGCTGCACCTTCTGGATCTCCTTCATGCTGCTGCTGAAGAGAAGAATGTCGTCCACGTAGACCAGAAACAACACCAGCTTCTCCCCCTCCCCCTTGAGAAAGAGGCTCTCATCACAGCTGCTGGTCCTGAATCCCATCTCCTCTAAAACAGCTGCCAACTTCTGGTACCAGCAGCGTGGCGCCTGCTTCAAGCCGTAGATGGACTTTTTCAGCTTGCACACCCTGCCCGTACCATCCTCATACCCAGGTGGCTGCGTCATGAACACCTCCTCCTCTAAAATCCCGTTGAGGAATGCCGTTGATATGTCCATCTGGATAATGAACTTCCCACTAACGGCTGCATCTGCCAACAAGACACGAAGGGTAGGGGGTTTGGCAGTGGGAGCAAAGACCTCATTGAAGTCCCGCTTCTCCTTCTGCATAAACCCCTTAGCCACCAACCTACTCTTGTAGATGGTGACCTTCCCCTTGTCGTCAGTCTTGATCGTTAGCACCCACTTGCATTGTACCGCTTTCTTTCCCTCAGGCAGCACCACTAGTTCCCAAGTCCCATTCTCCAGCAGGCTCTGGTACTCAGCATCCCTAGAAGCTAGCCATTTGTCCCTATCTGGTCCAGCTAATGCCTCCTCCATGCTAGCTGGTTCCTCTGGTGCAGGGGCAAGAAAACAGTACGCAGGCTCATCCTCCTCATCCGGGTCATAGCCATGCGGTAGAATCAGCAATGCCTCCTCAGTCCCAAGCTGCTGCTCCGCTACATCAGTTCCTGCAGTCAGCTTCTTAGTACCCATACGGGTACGTCCTGGCCTGGAGACGGGTGTCTCCCATCCCTTCATAACGACACCCTTCGGCTTCTTAGTTTTCCCCTGCTGCTGCTCTCCTCCCTCGGATCCAGCAGCTCCACTAGTGCTACCGCTAGTCTCCACACCATCACCTCCACCAGCAGGTGCCTCCTGCACCTTCTCTTTATCACCACCCTCTGCAGCTGCCTCCTCTCCCTCCTCCCACACACTAGGAGTCAGGTCCAGCTGCATGGTGATCTGCTCCATCTGCTGGGACACCCTGGCCTCCGGCTGTTTCTCCCAGCTCCCATACATCATGCCCTCAACAAACTTCACATCCCTGCTGTCAAACAACACACCCTTGGAAGGCTCCCACAGCAGCCATCCCTTGCTCTCAGCAGCCAGCCCCAAATGCACACACCAGATTGCACTCGCCCCCAACTTACTGCGGTAGGTCTTGGGGACGTGGGCGACTGCCATGCAACCGAACACCCTCAGCATGTCCACCGGCGGCTTCCTCCCAAGCCACCTCTCCAACGGCACCCACGAGTCATCCCCAACCTTGGTGAGTACCCTGTTCCTA